CCGTGTTAGCCAGGATGGTCTCAATCTCCTGACCTCGTGATCCGCCCGCCTCAGCCTCCCACAGTGCTGGGATTACAGGCATGAGCCATCGCGCCCGGCCAGTATTTGTTTTCTTAAAAGGGGTGGACGTAGGGGATGGGGTAGAATTAACTTCTGGTACTGCTGGCAGGCACCTGAGCAGAACATCATTGCTCTCTTCCTTCGGCAGAAGCTGAGCTGACTATGCCTCCCCGCATCCCCTAGGGCATTGGTGTAAAGCTGGAGACCCACTGCCCCAGGTGCTGCTGGGGGTTGTAGTCTGACCCAACTGGGAAGAAAGCCCCAGGGCTCCAGGGAGAGGGGCTTGGGAGGCCCTCACCTCAGTTACATACTGCAGCATAACCATCCGGGCCAGCTTCTCCTGGATCAGCCCAAAGTTGTGAATTTTCTCCCCAAACTGGATACGATTAGTGGCATAATCTACCTGGAAGAGGGTCCATGTATTCCACTGTGGTTCAGTGTGATTCTGCAGTCTCCCTAGACAGGGGCTGGGATCGCGCCACAGGGATGGGCTTTGCATACAACCAGAGTTCAGTCTACGCTGGATGGAGACCTAAGCTAACAAGTCTGGGGCTGCTGGTAGGGGAGGAGTTTCTGGTGTAGGGAGTGCCTGCAAGTGATCAGGGACACATGGCAAGGGGGACAGTGAGACTACTGTTCGGGTTACCTGGGGACTTGGGCAGGGTACTCACCGCCTTAGTAATGATGCCTCTCATGGTACCTGCCAGGGCCGCAGCCATGCCAAACCTTCCATTGTTGAGGATGTGCATGGCGACCTTGAAGCCACTCCCAACCTCACCCAGCACATTCTCCGATGGCACCCGTACTCCATCAAAAAACACCTCTGCTGTGTTTGAAGCCTTGATGCCCATCTTCTTCTCCGGGGGCCCGCTGTGTCAGGGCAGTGTGGGAAAGCAGAGGTGTGTTCAACAGATTGTCAGTGGGGAAAAACTGCTTCTTCGCTCTTTATGCACTAGGGAGGAATTACAACTCCTAGACTATTAGAGGCTACAGCCAACACTTACCCCCGGCCCTGAAGGCTAAGGAGGCCTGGCTATGTCTTATTTTGTGTTGGACTTGGTTGCTGGAGCCAAAACTTTAGCTCAGTTGCATACATATTAGTCCCAAAGGCCACTTTCAGTCCACCTGCTTTGGCTTTTGCACACATCCCCGGGTGACTTGCAACAGCCATCTGCCCAGGAACCCAGTCCTGCCCCTCAATCCTAAGCTCTCCCAACCCAAATTCACTCACTGGGTAACACCCCCGAAGCCCCTCTCCACCACAAAAGCTGTGATCTTCTCCTTCACGGCCCCCGTGGCTGGATCTGTAACTGGTGTCTTGGCAAAGACTGTGAAGATGTCTGCCAGGCCCCCATTACTGTGGAAGAATGAGGGACATTCAGGGCATGGAGGACAGGGAGCAGCGGGGCCTGGAATTGGGCAGAGGATAAGGGGAGAAATGGGAGGCAGATTGCCTGATCCAAAGCTTGCTTCCATTGAGGGTATAGTATTTTCCACAGGGGCTGGGCACAGCAGAGGTTCGGATGGAGGCTGCATCTGACCCGCTTGAGGGCTCGGTTAGACAGAAAGCGGCCAAAGTCTCCCCTGTTGGGGAGAGAGCTCCTTTACCCCAAGTTCTGACGAGCTTCAAAGTCCCCTCGGCCCACTTCCCCATCCCTCCAGCAGGCAGTTGCCCTTTAACACCTGGGAATATCCAGTTTTCTTTTGCATGTCCCAACCAGCACACTGTGATGCCTCCCCAGAATCTTCCCCCGACTGAAATGCCCAGCCATCTGATAATCTGAGTGCCAACTGGCCTAATCTGTGCCAGGCTCAGTATACCCCGCCAATCCTTGGGTCTCCTAGGGTTGCCTCACCAGATGCCAGTTTGGGGAGGTATTTTTCTTTCTGGGCCTTCGTTCCAAAGAGTAGGATGCCTTTGAAACCGATGCTCTGATGGGCCCCCAGGGTAATGCCCACGGCAAGGTCATGCATGCCCACGATCTCCACCAAACGGGCGTACTAGAGGGGAAGCAGGGATCTGGGGCTGTCACTGGCTGCAGAGGGACCTGACCTTAACAGGAGAGTGTGGGCAACAGGGCAGTTCCTGACCTAGGGCAGTGCCTGACCTGGGCCATCCCCAGTGTGTGGAAAGGAAGTAGGGGTCTGCAAAGGGCACAGAAGAGAATGTTGGTCTGTCTTAGGTCTAGGTAGGAGGATGACTTGCTACTAGTCTATTGTTAGGCAATCCCCAACTTAGAGATTTGTAAGGACTTGGGGACCAGGGGGAGGCCCATGGTTCAGCCCTAGGGGACTGCATGTAAATTGTGTTATGTTTGGAGAGTTAACATCCATCCCACAGGCACCCAGGGCAGATGCTTAGAAGAGACCTTGACCCTAGAGATGGTAAAGGAGCTGAGTCTGCCAAGCTGGAGTATGAGATACTGGGATGTGGCGATGGGGTGCCCTCACCTGGGTGTTGCAAAGGCCCACACCACCCAGCTCACTGGGCACTTGCAGACCGAAGGCCCCCAGCTCCTTGAGGCCCTGCAAAGTGGTCTCCTCCACCATCTCCAGAGTGTCATTCTTGGCAGGATCGTTCACTTCCTGGGGAAGGCACAGGATCCCACATCCAGGCTCCTTTTGAGCTTAACATCATCCACCCCACCAGGGACCAAGCCCCAAGTCATTCCTTACCTTGAAGAAACGGGACACGGGCTCCACCAGCTCTTTAAGAAACTCTGTCTGCTCTTGGTTGAGCACTGGGGTGGGGGACAGGCTGGTCAAGCCAGGCTGGCAGGGGAAACCACCCTGGCCCCACCCAGCTCTGATTACCCCTTCCCTTACCGGACGGGTATGGGAACACCTGATCTGTGGTGAGCTGGCCTTTGAACATCGCCACAGCAAAGGACTTAGATTCCTGGGCAGAGAGAGGCGAGTTTCAGGACTCTGGTTGGGGTGAGTGTCTCTGGCTAAGGCCCACCTGGCCTTGGGGGTACCTACCGCTTTGGCCGGTTTTTCCTTCTTCAGAGCGTCAGAGAGGTGGGAATCTGACTTGTCCAGAGCCAGCTGGGAAAAGAGATGGTTAGCAAGTCCAGGGAAGGGACTTCCGTTGTGCCAAGGGGAGCACAGGCGAGACCACGCTGGGAGGCGGCGCGAAGCGGTGACCTTTCCCCTAGTTTCGCCCTAGGGCACCCTGGATTGCCCTTTCCCCTACTTTCGGCGACAGAGCTGTGGGCAGGTGCCTGGCACCAAGAGGGAGACCCCTGCCGACGGCGGGAGGCGGGCGCCTAAGCGGACCGCTGCTCCCACACCCCCTTGCCAAGGCTGCCGCGACTTACCTGAGCGGCACCTCCGGCATAGGGCCGCCGGGCAGGGCCGGGCCGGGGCTGCCCCAGGAGCGCCGTGGGTCGCGAGCTGTGGGAAGTGGGGGTTCAGTCCTGGCCCGGTGCCCAGGGCCGCTGCCCCCCGTTCCTCTTGTCCATACACAGACCTTCCGCCCCCGAGCCTCAGCAGCTGCCGCCCCAAGCTCGGGGCTATCCGAGCCGCCTGCATCTCCGAGTCTCTCCGGGCGTCGCTGGACGGAGCGCTGACCCAGCTCTGGCGTCCTGTACGCCCAAGTCCTGGACCTCCTAGCCCTGACTCATCGTCCAGAGTGCACCGGGTGGCGGCGGTTGCGGGCCCCGGGGCATGCTGGGAGCTGTAGTTCCCTGGAGCCCGGCCCTGCGTTCCGCTGACCTAGGGGGATCTCCAAGCGTCTCTCGTCTCCCCCAAACTCCTTAATCCCGCCCGTCCGAACTAGAGTCTAGTCCTCCGACGGGGTGATGGGATAGGATGAGACAGAAGAGGAAGGGGCTTAAGTCACTGTAGCCAGAGGGATGGAGGTGGACTGAAAGGAGGGCTTCTCTGGTGGGGTTAGAAGAGAGAAGTAGGGAAAGAGAAGTGTAAGGTAGATGGCAGAGGTAGAGGCACCGAAAGACAAGACTCTAAGGTTCCTGATGAAATCTGTCTCGGCCAACACAAAAGGGAGGGCACGGTGGTGGGGGGGGGGGCACCCAAGCTAGGGTGTGAGTGCCCTAAGTGTATTCTTCTGAGACGTAAACCATTTCACTAACTCTTGAAGCAGCTACAGTTTCCCCGTGGGAAGGCCCCGCCAGGTTCATTGCGCTTCCCTTAATAAAGCCTCTGAGATCTTCCTGAACATTCCCTTCTGTCTCTGCCCTCTGTTACTTCCAGAGACCATGTGCCCAGGCAGATGGAATCCTCCCGGGCCTGAGAGGAACTGCAGGAATTCTCCTGCCTCTTACCTGTGAAACCCCAACTTCTCTAGCCCTAGGTCAGGAAGTTCCAAACAATTTCTACTCCTCTTTCTGCAATTCTCATTGGGGTGAGAGGAGGCCCTGGAGGAGAGCGAGCTGGGGTCAGCTTCTTTTTGAGCTGCTGGAGCCCTCTGTGAGGAGGCCCTCTTTGCTGGCTTCTCAGGAGAGTGTGGCTAGGTTCTGCCTGCCTGTGGGGAGACAGGCCAGGGTGTGTGCAGCAAGATGGTGGCGGTGCTGGTGCCTTGGGACCTGGGGGAATGGGACAGCTGGTCGGTTCAGAGATGGCCTACTTTACTCACAGCTGGAATTTAGTGGGGAGAAGCAGCTCAACTCCAATCCTGGAGGATTAGGGAGATTAAAGTGAGAGAAGAGAGAGATGTCCCAGAGACCAAGAGGTGAAAAACAGGGGTCCTTGTGGAGGGGAGGTCTGGGATTGAAGTGGGGGGCTGGGGCTCAGGGATCCTTCTCCCTGAATCTTTCCATAGGGCTTGGGGTGAAGGGCACAGGCTGGGGAGATGAAGTGACAGTGTGTTCGTCTTCCTGTGTTGGCCTCTTCCCTGTCCCAATTCTCCTTGCATCGCACTAGCTCCCAGGTCAGCCCTCTGGCTCCTGGCACCCCCGCTGCTGCGGTGGGCACCCCCCCTCCTCACAGTGCTGCATAGCGACCTCTTCCAGGCCTTGCTGGGTGAGTAGCCCGTTTTCTGAGGGACCTGGGCCTCCAAGGGCCGTCCGTTACTGAACTTCGGGGGCTGTTTGGGAGCCTGGAAATCATTTGGTCCAAGCTGGAGCCCCATGCAGGGTCATGCCTATGGTGTCCTCCATGAGTGTGGACCAGCCTTGGCTGAAAGGGCTCCTCCCTTGCCAGCCGGACAGCAGCGGTGATGACAGGGGTGATGTGTCTGGAGAGGCCTGGGATGGGGAGGTAACTCAGTTCTGTTCTGTGGCAGACATCCTGGACTATTATGAGGCTTCCCTCTCAGAGAGTCAGGTAAGGAGGTGGGGGCGAGCGCCTTACTTCCTGAGGGGCAGGCAGGGCTGGAGGGGTGAGGCAAATATTGCTAATATTACATGGAAACTTGGGGGCCCTGCTGACGAAAGACTGAGTCGGTGGCCCAGGGACTTGGGGCACCGAGAATGCACTCTCTGTGGTCCTATACCCCCTCTCCCTTTCTTCTTCCTTTTCTTTGGCTGCCTCAATTTCAGGCACTAAAGAGTCTAAGGCTTTTTAGGTTTCCCCCTGAGAAACATGAGGCAGAACTAGGCCCCCAGGGATTGCCTCCTGCAGCCCCTCCCTCATACCCGACCCCCTACCGCCTGTCGTGGCCTCCCTCCTGTATTCAAATAACCATGGGTGCTCCCAGCCCAACTATAGGTGCTTCCTTCTCTAAGAAATGAAATCCAGCCTCATCGTCTTTGCTGTCATCGCTGGTGGCTGGCCAGGTCTCCATGTTTGCCTCAGGGCCTCTGTGCTTCTGCTTCTATCTCCTTTCCCATTATCCGGGTTCCTGCCAGCACGGAAGGAGTTAACTCTGCCAAGGCACCCCCCCATTCTGGCTCCTAGCTCCCTCCCTCCCTCCCCCTGCTTCCTCTCTCCTCCTCTCTCCCCTTCCCTCTTCGGCTCCACGGCTCCCTCGGCCGCTGCCGTTTCCAACCCCCCCA